TGGCTCTGCTGAGATATCTCTGAGATACTGTGTCTCAGATTCACTGTGTCTAAAAGTGAATTCGTCATCTAATCTTTCCCTGCCACCTACTGCTGCATTCTGCCCTTTACCTAGTTGTTCAGGACAGAAACCTAGTCCATCATCACACTTCTTTTCCTTCCTGCTCCCACCCCAATGCCCAATATCCTGTTAATGTTAAATATTTTTGGATTTTCGGTTTCTTTTCTTGATCTCTGCTTTCAGACCTGAGTTCACGCTACCATCATTTCTCATCTGACTTCTTTAACAGCTTTCTAACTCATCTGTCTCTAGGCTTGCTCCCTCCTGTCCTGTGAGCGTATTCCAGAAAAAATATTTTTGAAATACAGATGCGATCATGCCTTTCCCTTGCTAACAATTCTTCGATCGCTTTTCCTATTGTAGTGACAATATACTTGTGAACACAAGTAACATGTTCAGCTGGGGCTGGCCTCATCCTTTGTCTCTGTGCTCTTTCTTCCTTCTGGGCCTTATCATGCAGTCTTCTGCCTGAACTTAGACACCAGTCAATCTCTCTGGCTTTCCTTCCCTGCCTCCGTGCAGCACCATCCACACATATACACCCTTTGCCTGGTTAATTCCTATTAAGTCCTCCATCAAGTCTCAGATTAGTAACATACTCTAAGGGCCAGTCTCAAACATGATTATAATTATTTAATGTCCATTTTGTGCACTGCCATATCCTCAATGCCAAACGTACATGTTTAATAAATATTTGCCTAATGATTTAACTTTATTGAAAAGCTTATTGAAGATTTAGGACAGTGATGTGGAGTTGTACTCTACAGTCCCAATAATGTCACAGATTTTCCATGTGAAATTTCCTGGTTGTTGTTGAAATTGTTAGTTACTCAATTTGCCATGTTTAGTATTCTTGGCACTCCAGGTTTAAAAATTCTAATGTATCTTGAAAACATGTTTAGAAAAATTTGACAATACATAAAACATTTATTATGCTTTGAATAGGTGCAGTTTATTATATGTAAATTATACTTCAGTAAACCTGTTTAAAAATTAACTGATAATAAATACTTTCAAGGTCTAGATTACCATCTGAAATAGGTTTTTTTTTTTTACCAGTGGTTTTGTCTGAATCACATAGGCATTTTGCGCTTGTATATATACCAACTATTTGGGTGGGAAAAATTGCGTAAGGTTGTGAATTCATTTGAATTGACTATTTGGTGGTATAGTTAGCATGTTTAAGTAGGTCAGGCGTAGTGACTCACACCTGTAAATTCCAGCAGTTTGGGAGGCCAAGGCAGGTGGATCATTTGAGGTCAGGACTTTAAGACCAGCCAGGCCAACATGGTGAAACCCTGTCTCTACTAAAAATACAAATATTAGCTGAGTGGTAATGACACGTGCCTGTAATCTCCAGCTACTCAGGAGGCTGAGGCAGGAGAATCGCTTGAGCCTGGGAGGCGAAGGTTGTGGTGAGCCAAGATTGTACCACTGCATTCCAGTCTGGGCAACAGAGTGAGACTCTGTCTCCAAAAAAAAAAAAAAAAAAAGGAAAGTAAATGTGAAGAGAAGATATTCTTCTTACCTTAATGCCTTAAAAGGGATGCTATGATTTATAGTAATTTTACTCAAAAATTTGCACTTAGGGGTTTTATGAAACTGGTAAAATTTCTACATGTGAGAAGAAGTTCTTGTGTCATTGTACTATTATGAAGTAGCTTTTGTTTTTGTTCTTATTTGTCAGTGCTGGGCTGTCTTATGTTCTTGTGGTCATGCTAAAAAGAAATGCTGCTAGAAGTTTCAAAACTATAAGTAAATATGGCTTATAGTTTTATCAAATACAACAGTCTTTAGGATCTGGTTTTAAATAGACAGTATAAATGGTTATCAAACAGTACACTGCATGAGTAGTGTCTCATTTCCCTTTTGGGTGACATTATTTGACAGATTGAATAGGAGAATGCCATACATTAGTATGTATTAATTTCAGGAAAAAGTTTTATGAATTACTCTCTATTGTGTAGAAGATGGAGGAATGGGACTCAGAATTCAGTTGGCTTTGTAGCTGATAGACCAGCATTTTACTTAATCTTAGGAGTGGTGGGGCTGGGTGTGGTGGCTCACGCCTATAATCCTGGCACTTTGGGACACCAAGGCGGGTGGATCACGAGGTCAGGAGATCGAGACCATCCTGGCTAACATGATGAAACCCCGTCTCTACTAAAAATATAGAAAATTAGCCGGGCGCAGTGGCGGGCACCTGTAGTCCCAGCTACTCAGGAGGCTGAGGCAGGAGAATGGCATGAATGTATTAGGAGTGCTAATTGATGGACAGATATCCTACCAGGGGAGGCTTTTAGTGATATAATTCTGGGTTCCATCATTAGCCTTGCTCTTCAGAGTTTGGAGAAACAGCTGTTATTTCAGTGATGGAATTTAGATTCACTATGCTCTCTTTAGGCTAAAATGGTAACTTTAAAGCAAATGAGAATTCATTTGAGAGAATATATCTATACAGAAAGCTATAAAGTAAGTTTTAAAATAAAATCACAAGATTATAGTTTAAAGGAGACCTGATGCTGTAAGTCACTCTGAAAGAAAATATATGGGAAGTAAGTTTATTTCACAATAAGCTTATCCTTCTAGTGGTGTGGTATGTGTGTCAAGAAAACCAATTTGATCTTAGTCATCCCAGTGTGCACTATGTCAGAGGATTTTGTTTGTGGCATCCACATCACAAGAAGTACACTAACTGGAGAGCACTCAGGTACTCTGTTGTCTGAGGAACCGTTGTGGGAATCATGGTTCGAAAGAGAAGCCTGAAGAAGATGGTGAGGCACGATGGCCATCTTTAAATATCTGAAATGCTGCCAAAAGAAATAGCCAGTGTTTGCTCCAAAGAAAAAAGCCAGATCAGTGTATATCTTCGTTTTAAGGAAGACTTGGGTAGCAATTGTCAATATCCAGAGATCTTTTACTCTGTGTGTTTGGTTTGTTCATTCAGATTTTTGTAAGATATTACTATAGTGAGAAACTTTTTGAAAGTGGAATGTCAAATATTGAAATGTTGGCAGAAAAGCTGAGTTCATTTAATGTAAAATTAAGAATCACTTGGAATTTTTATTTAAAAAAAAAAACATCTTTTTCTGTCCTTTAGCATTTATGTAAAAATCAAATGTAGGAATATTGATAATGAGCAATGAATCCCAAGTTTTCTTTCCTCAGATACTAACTTTTTTCTGTTATAGTTTCATTTCTTGGGGGATTTATCAAGTGGCAAAATAAGATGTAGTGGAAAGACTGATTTACGGAACTGAGTTTAAAGCAAGCCTGTTTTATTAGCTGTGTGATGTTATATAACTGATTTAAACTCTGAGTGCTACTTTTCCTCATCTGTAGACAGTAAAATTTCACCTTATAGCTTTTTATGTGGAATAAATGAAATTGTACCTGTGGAAGCACCTGGCAAACAGGAGGTATTCATTAAATGTTGTGGTTAATAGATCTTGCTCCAAAAGACCTGTCCTCGAGATTAAACTGTCCTGTCACTGTTTTCCCAACTGAAATTTTGATTCTGCCATCTCCCTTTCTTCCTTCCTCCTGCCTTTTATTTCATAAAGCTGTTGGTAATTTTAGTACAATTTAACATTTGTGTGTATGATACATGAGACCTTGTTCCTGTAAAGAGCACAAGTTTATGAAGATACTTTTTTCTTATATTCTTCTATATTATTTTGTTATTTTAATTGTTGCTATTATTGTCAGTTTGCTGCCGCCAGTTAATTTGTCTTAAGATTTCTTCTTGTAAAGACAGTAAAGGGTTAAGGAAAGGAGCTGTTGGCTACTGCTTGCTACTAATTTGAAAAGAAATGCTAGTTATGGCCTTCTAGGTCTCTCCTTCTCCTTTACCCTTTTACTGTCTGGTAACCTTCAAATCTGTGTGTCAGTGAAGGCTAGGAGGGAACAGTAGAACTGCTTCTCCTGGAGCCATAGCACCTAGCACCTAAACACCTGCACTGAAATTTACAAGGAAAGCCTAATTGGAGACAATGCCTTTGCAGCCGTTGTAAATTATTTTCTTCTTTCACCTGTGAAATATTCATTCCTCTTATTTGAAGCAGTCTATTATCTAAGCAAACAGGAGTTGCTCAAGTGGAGGCTAAATGTTTTATCTATATTCTAATACATTTTACCACCAACATATGTGTAACTCTGGATGACTCACTATATTTAAGTTTAGATTAATGAAAATTGTTGACTGTGGTAAACTTTTCCTTCCCATTTCACGTGAAGAACAAGGTAGAAAGTGTCATTATGCAGGAATAATGTTTTCTGCAAGTTTTAAGAGAATGTCTCAATTCCCTTTTCTTTCTCCTCTGAAACTACCGTATCCTATGAACTATATGGCAGGCAATAACTTCCTAATCTCAGACTGGCACTATATAATATTAGAGCAAGAAGGATCTTCAGATATGACCTAGCATCAAATCTCTCTCATTTTTCCATTCTGGAAATCTTGGTCCAGAGGGTCAAACTAATATCTCCCAAGTTGCTCAGTGAGATAATGGCACACCTAGGAAGACAAAGAACCCTTGATTTTCACTTAGTACCTTGTGTTCTCTGCAGAGAGTAAAATTGATCATTGGTGAGTCATTAACCAGTGCCCAGTCACATGCTGCTACTTTATGTTCACTTTGGGCTTTCAGGAAAAAATACTTAGTAGCAGAAGATGAGCCCCACCCGTATCCCCACCCCCCCACAAAAATATTCACTGACCTTTGGTGTTCTGTTTGGGTCTTCAGCATCCCCCACTAGATGGTGTCCCTAATTCAGAAACTTTGCTGTGAGACTCCACACGGGCTTCTGCCCTAACTGGAACTAAAGCAGCCACAGTGTTGACCCATAAGAATGCTTAAACAATTTGGTAAGGTGCTAGATCTTGTAGTTAAGTAAATCAAATGAAAATTTAATTCATGAACACAAATGCTATAGCTAAATTAAGATGTATAAAGTATTTTTATATTTCATTTTCTGGAATCTTTAAGAATTGCATGTTGGGCCTGTGGCATGAGACAGACTAAAAGCACCGGTTGTTTTTAAAGAATCTGGTACCCTTTGTGTGGATAGAGGGCAGGACAGAGGCTGCAGAGAGAAAGGAGAGATAATTAATACTGTAAGTAACTACTGTTAAGTAGTAATGGCTGTAAATAATAAAATATTTTACTACAGGTTCCCCAAATTAAAGGAAAAGGGAAATAAATTCAGAACTCCCTTTAAATTTGTAACTCTCAGCTCTGGTTTAGATATGAAATGATTGGTTGCTGTATTTCAAAATCCTAGCAGAATTACTGTTCACTGGGTCCAGATGTTTTTGATAAAAACTTGGAATTGTCACATCAACTGCAAAAGCACAAGACTGCAGATTCTGTCTTCTGTTGGGGAGTGCTGAGCAGATCCAGAGGGGAAAGCAACACAGACTCTTTTCTCCACCCAGAGCATTTATTTCCCACCCAGGGTATTTGTTGTCCTCCAAGAAGGAGCAGAATATGTAAAGAATTGTCCTTTTAATATGCAGAAAGAGCAGGAAATCTAGCTTTCCAGCCTGTGGCACAAATCCAGAAGTTAGAAATAAAAAGGTTAGTTCTATATGTCTCAAACAGTAATCTAGGCTCTTTCAGAAAATTATATTATTTTGAAACAATTTTCCCTCTCCTATAAACTTCCTGAAGACAGACACCTTGTTACCTATTTCTTTTGCTTGCCTCCACTAGGAGTCACAAAATATCTGTTAGATTGATATAGATTATCTGCATGTAAGTCACTGGACAGGGTTAGGGTAGAAAAGCTTTTTTTTTTTTTTTTTTTTTTTTTTTTTTTTTTTGAGGCGGAGTCTCCCTCTGTTGCTAGGCTGGAGGAGTGCAGTGGCACTATCTTGGCTCACTGCAACCTCCGCCTCTCCAGGTTCAAACGATTCTCCTGCCTCAGCCTCCAGGCATATGACACCATGCCCGACTAATTTTTGTATTTTTAGTAGAGACAGGGTTTCACCATGTTGGCCAGGATCTCGATCTCTTCACCTCATAATCCGCCTGCCTCGGCCTCCCAAAGTGTTGGGATTACAGGCATGAGCCACCACGCCGGGCCGGTAGGAAGGTTTTAATGGTGATTTAAACCATCTCTGATCCCTAGAGAGACATGCCTGGGAATCTTGGAAGCAGGAATCATTTGATTCTAATTAAAACAGAAGGGCGTGGCAGTGAGGAACAAACCATATTTCGGACAGAGGGGAGGCAGCTCTGTGTTCAAAAAAAGAAGAAGGGCGAGTTCTACATTCTAGCTTGGTGAAAGCTTTTACAGAAAAGATAATAAACTATCAGTTTATCTATACATTCAAGCCTAAAGGCTCTTTCTATCTGTGCCCTAGACCACATAGTTTGGAAGTATTTGTAAATCTCTGGTCAGGTTCTCATGCTTTTGATAAGCCAGAGCAAGAATTTTATTTACAACTTTTAAATCTCTGTCAAATCGTCTTGTTTCTACTGTTTTCTAGTCTCATTTGTAATGAAAAGCAACATCTGTTTCAGTGCACATGTTGGTACCACTAAGAACCAAGGCTCACTGGTGGCATGAGAAGGGGAGGGGTTGTCCACCTTCATTCCTCAGATGAACCAGTGAGGAATAGGGAGATAAAACCTTACGGCTTTTATTTCGGATTAAAGCCTGTAGCTGTGGTGTATTAACAGAAAGCTGAGGAAAATGTTTGCACTCTTCTTAGCAGGGTTTGCTGTTTCCCTCCTTTAAGCTGGTCAGCGACTTGAATACCTGGCCTGAGGACACGGCTGATCTATACCCTTTTTCTATACCTGAAAAACCTTTTCACCAACTTTGTTTGCAATGTCAACAGAAATGTAGGTGTTAAATCTCTCCTCTCCTCTTCTGTTGTGGTTATTTGAGCCCCTGCTTTCACAGCCTAGCTAAGGACTACTCTGGCCAACTCAAGGAAAATGTCAGCAGCTCCTAGAAAGAGAAATCTTTTTTTTTTTTTTTAAATCCCTTTTTCTTTTGTTTCTTCACTCCTTTCTGCTTTTTGCTCCCCTCAGTTCCTCATCCTTTTCCCTCCCAAATCGTTTATGATCCAAGTAAGAGAGTGTCTCAGGTGAGAGAATGCATTCTGAAGTAAGTCGGTCCCTGAGAACGTTAGGGTGGGGACTAGAAGGGTGTGGAATAGTAAGAAAACAGGCAAATGAAGTAGCAGACCCACATTCAAGACCCAGTTAGTGTGCATAGAAACATTGAAGGAGAAGTCTCAGCCAGACAGCTATGCTTAGTCACAACAAATATTAACATATCCAGAACTCCTTTGTTCCACTCCTTTTCCTTTTCATTTTCTTTCAGTCTAACTCCATCCTCCCTTCTCCCTCCCCCAAAATAAAGCTTAACTCTTGATAATTTTTAAACCTTATCAGACACATTTGTAGCCACGTCTTGATCCTAGAGACATAACTGCAATATTTGGCTAACATTTTTCTCATGTTAAATCATTGCCTTGCATTTGGCAGGGAGGTACAGTGTATGCTTTGGGTAGTTTCAGTTTTCTGTACCTTGGGACGAGTCCGTTGTACACACTTGTGGTGTTTAGTATAACACCCCCCTTCCTTTATTAGCATACTACTCTGACATCAAAGAACTGAGCTGCATCTTGCAATGCCTGACAAAGCCTTTTTCATAGGGGTGGGAGGAGGAGGAGGAGGAGGAAGAAGCGGGTTGGAAAAGGAAGCCTTGTTTTTCTCTTCGTCTGTAGATGAATCATGTTCCCACAACTGCAATTGGGTTTTCAAACCTCCAAGGCTGCGGGAGCAGAGCTGAAAGGGCAAGCAGTGACGTTCCTGAGAGAGAAGGAAAAAGGGAGGAGGAGGCTGGCCAGGGAGGGAGGGAGGGAGAGAGGGAGTACTGCAGGAGTGGTCTTTTTTTTTTTTTTTTTTTTTCCCCTTTTACTCTGCTGTCCTTAGAGATTTTCAACTTAAATCAAAACCAAGTCCCACTGCCTGGTGAGCAAGAGACAGACTCTAAAGACTTTGCTTTGAAAAGCATCTCCCAGCTTCTACTTTTTTTTCTTTAAGGAAAAGTAGATTTTCTTTGTCTTTGTTTTTGTTTTAAGCAAGAACAGAATCTAATGACTTTTTTCATGTCATCGCTTTGAAATAGCGTCGTCTTCCTTTCTTTCTCTCCCTCTTCCTGGCAAAATATATACTGGATTTTTATTGCCTTCTTGGGTTTTTTTCCCTACGTGTATCAGCCGTTATGCTTGGCCAGTTTATTCTTAATTTTTTTACGGGAGTCATTGCCAGTGATGGAAACGCTGTTTGCTTCTCTTTCAGTCAAGATCTGCACAAAGTATAGCATTAGGGGATATTTGTTGTTTATATTATGAGTTCTACAGTCATCTTTTCAGCACTCTGAAGTTACCAGCAAGTTCTCAGTCAGTTCAAGGAATTGGATTCTCCTTGATTTCTTTTTAATTCATTGTTTTTGACCCCTTTGAGAGTTTTTATATAGAGAGGAATCTGGAAGGCAGAGATCTCCTCCACCTCACCGTGAGAAATTTGGAACTAAGGACTCACACTGGTTCCCAAGTTAACAGTGGATATACTTCCTGCATTTTCTCTGTTCTTTCCTGCATTTGGGCAAAATGTATGAACGGCACAAGAGGCGCTACAGCCTCTGTGACATCTCCAAGGTGGACAGGACTGTGGACGTGGTGTTGCTGAAGGTAAGGGGGGCCGCACCTCATGCATTTTGAAGCTCTGCGGGCTGTTTTAGTGCTTTGAACCCAGTAGCCATGTCCCTGGCCCTCTTGTATTGGGAGAAAGGCTGAGAAATCTGTGTACAATGGAGGATGAGGGGTGATTGTAAGCCTCTTAAAGGAGGATTTGAACAGGACGCAGTAGGTGCTTGGGAATCAGCATTGGACTACTTACTGTTGAGATGTAATTTTACTTGCATTAAAATGGATTCTTATGCTTGGGATAACCTCATACTGTTGAAAATCACAGAAGGAGAAATTCACCTTCCAAGTTGCTCTGTTTGGCCTTCTGTCTCTGTCACCCCTCCGCCCCCAGACTCCACCCCCATCTGCCTGGTCTCTTTCTCTGGCAGTCTCTTTCTCTGCCTCTGTCTTTTAAGTATTTCTGTCTTTTGTCTGAGTCTTTTCTGTTTTTCTGCTACGGTCTCACTCAATTCTTTAGGGGAAAGATAGGCAACATTTATTTCTTTTGGAAGGATTTCCAATAAACCTATTTATTAAGGTGGCAGAGCTGACATTTTGGCTTGGTTTGACTGCTTTTCGGAGGTAGCTTCTGACTTTGTTGATAGCTGTATTTGTTTGTGTTCTCAGCATTAGTGATGTTTGGTGTCTAAGCAGGATGGGGGCGGAGACTCTGAATAGCTAATTGCTCACAGAAGGCATCCTTGAATCTAAAATTAGTAAAAACTCCTCCAGCCGGTAAGATGAGAGTCTGGGAATGTTGGACAGCTCAAAGAGCACTTTTTGGAAATTTAGCAGTTTTCTGGCAAAGGCAGGGGAAATTGGAAGTCAACCAAGCGCTTCATAGATGACGGAAAGAACCCCAGTATCTGAACTTCTGAGGCTGTATGTGGAGGTGAGGGTGATTTTAACCAAAGTGGAAATACATTGCCCTGGTCAAGGAAATAGTGGACCTATTTTGTTGATTTATCTATTTAGTTTATTACTTGGGTCTTTTTGATTTTCTTTGCTCGAGTGAGGCTAAGGAATGGGCTCAGAAGGCTAGACACAAAAACCAATGAAATGCCATGTTGGGCAGGGCACTAGGTAGAGTAGTTGTGATTTGTGGTAGAGTGTTGTAAGTGTCTCTCCATAATCATTATCAGGTGGTTGACTTGCTGGGCCTCGGCTGCCAGCAGTTGGTAACTTGTTGTTTTGAAATTGTTCCAAGATATTATTCATTTTGGGTTCTCTGAAATGTGATTTTCTCTGTGAGATCACAGTGATGTTTAAAAATTTTTGTCCTCATATGATGTATTTAGGAGAATCTCATTTTTAGGATCTTTTTGTGCATGATACCCTATGATTTGGCCTGCGGGTGGGGAGAAGGATAAAAAGA